GTCCTTAAATTTACAGGACATCTTCTGTGATTAACGTAAGGAATACTTAGAGCAAGTCCTTAGGGTAAACCAACTATAAACTTAAGAAACCAGAAATAGAACTTTTTTTTAAAACAATGCCATTTAAGTCCCTAACTTGTCTTGGTTCAGCTGCTAGACATTTGTTCCTTTGTCTCAAAAACGTTAGCAGAAAGCAATAAATATACTTCTTGCTTTACTCAGCTAACATCTGATTTTATCTGCACATTGCTTCAATTTTAAAACTTTCTTACCTTACTAGTCTGAATGGCTTATGTAGCCCAGTATTGTTATAATTGTCAGAACAAAGGGTTTGAATATTTTGGCAAGGAAAAAAGCCTGGTCATAGTATTTGCATTTCAGTTAATTATTTCATTCTAATTTGAAATGTGACTTATGTTAGATATATCTCTGCCCCTTCCCTATCTCAATACTAATATTAATATGTTGTATTTCTGCTACAATAGCATTACATCTTACAGACATTTATTTCCTTTATAACTGACATAGAGCTTTCCACATAGTAGGTGTTTAATATAATTGATGGTTTGGAATTCATAATATTTTGTAGACTAAGTATAACTCTCCTACTATTTCATCTACTTCCTAAGCTAGATTTATCTTTACAGGTACTAGACTTTATAGAATTAATGGTAAATTCAGTATGCATATCTTCTATAGTAAACACAGAAAAACATTTTTGTAATAATGCTCCCCAAATTTTAGTTTCTTGACTAGTAATAAAATATCTTATCTGTACTCAAGTTTATTATACAATAATGACAGCATTTTCATGTGCTGTGTTATGGCCAGTTAACTAAAAATAAGTGGGTATTTAAAATGGAAAATGAAATTATCCTGTTGCCTGAAATATCTTGACTCAGGTTTTATTACAGGTTGCATATGGTATCTGTTAGAGCTTTGAATCTATGTTGGTTGTTGAATTATTATGTGGATTAACTGTTGCATTCAGAAGTTCTTTAAAGGCATATGTCTGTTTTAAATCTTATACAAATTCCTTGCAGGTTTTGAGAATAGTCTTTTTATATGTCTTTCTTGTTTGTTGTTTTGTTTTTATACCAGAGCACCATGTCCTAAGCAGCAGTAAATTTAAAACATTGCTTAGGATAGTTTTATAATATCATTAATAGATTTTTATATTAGATAGTTTCTCTGATTTTTTGACCTATTATAGGGAACATGGAAAAAATTTAGAAAAATTAGAAGTTATACGGAGTATTAAGAAAAAACTTTTTGATTTGGTACTCCCAGGAAATCTAAAACCTCTAAGAGTATATTTTAAGAAATTTTTCTAAAATTTTGTAAATCAACCTACAGAGAAAAAAAGTATAAAAAGTATTTTCAAATATTTATATATATATGTGTGTATGTGTACACAAGCCACATTTTCTCCTAGAACTCACTACTGAAGTTTCTGAAAGTGATTCAATAAGATATATATTTCATATTTAGTTTTTAAATTCCATATAATTTTTGTGTTTTGACCATCAGGTAGAGTCTTACAGTTTAGTCACAGTGGAATCATCAGCTTCAAAATGAAAGAACAAGATAGTCTCTTGGCATTCAAAAATTTAGCATACTTTAACTCATGTTTGCTGTGATGTTAGGTAGTGAATTATTCTTGTTAACTGTCTAGCATCCAATGTGACATGCATTTGTTGTTACCTACAACGTACCAAATAAACAGTTACCCTCTGGAATGATAAGAACTTGGGCTTTTTATGAAAAATAAATTCTAAATGAGGACAGAAATCTATATTAATGATACACTATTGATTAAATTTAGAGATACACATAAAGATGACTCTCATATAAAATTTAGAATAAACATGAACGTTTTAGCATGTCCAACCTTTAGGGATTTAGGCTTTATGAAGGTCTTAAACCTGTCTCCTGGAATTCCAACATTGTGATGACTCAAATTTCATCAGTAAATATGGAAAAATAAACTAAAATTCTTGAGAAATTGCCATCTAATAAGTGGTTATTTTTTTTTCTAGTTTTAAAACAAAAAATCTTTATCTACTATTTATTAGATTCACCCGTGTTTTATACGGGGGGTCCCCAACCTTTTTGGCACCAAGGACCGATTTCGTGAAAGATCATTTTTCCACAGGGTGTGGTGGGTGAGGGGTGGTTTCAGAATGATTCAAGTGCATTGCATTTGTTGTACACTTTATTTCTATTACTATTACATTATAATATATAATGAAATAATTATACAACTCACCATAATGTAGAATCGGTGGGAGCTCTGAGCTTGTTTTCCTGCAACTAGACAGTCCCATCTGGGGGTGATGCGAGTCAGTGACAGATCATCAGGCACTAGATTCTCATAAGGATTGTGCATCCTAGATCCCTCACATGCAGAATTCACAATAGGGTTCGCACTCTAATGAGAATCTAATGCCGCCACTTATCTGACAGGAGGTGGAGCTCAGGCAGTAATGTGAGCGATGGGGAGTGGCTGTAAATACAGATGAAGCTTCACTTGCACTTCCTGCTTTGTGGCCCAGTTCCTAACAGGCCATGGATTCATATTGGTCCATGTCCGAGGGGTTGGGGACCCTTGTTTCATACAATTCTAATTGTATCATTGAATTTCTTTTTTCTTTTTTCTCCTTGTTAGGAGGCTAAAAACAACCTGCCTTGTGTAGATTCTTCTTTACCACCAAATTTTTGTCATGGTATCTTGTCCTTTTTTTGCATCTTTCTAAACTGCCTTAATCCTTGTAAGGGAGTAGGCAAGGTGTAAATATAATTAATAAGATGCAAGGAAATGTTTTTAGAAATTAGATTGTTATTTGAAAACATACAGAGCCTAAGTGTAAGAGAAATGTCATAAGCAAAACTTCTTAACAGGAAATTTACTGAATTGGAAAGTATTCTTGATTTTATGACTAATTTGAATCGAGGTATTCTTGTAGACACTCAGAGATTCCTGTACACATGTTACTTGTATTTTTCCAAAACTATATACGTATACGTAAAGTCTTTGTACAAATAAATAGTGACCACCAAGAAAAATTTCAGCAGTACACATAAGACATATCTTATACATGATACTCAACTTTTTCTATATCCTTTGTGTTCAAGTTTCTAGAAATTTTCATCTTTGTAAGGATATCATGTGAGTGTGCTCAAGGTTTGTTCTAAGAATCTGGCTGAGCACAGTGGCTCATGCCTGTTGTTACAATAATTTGAGAGGCTGAGGCAGAAGGAACATTTGAGCCCAGGAGTTTAAGAGCAGCCTGGGCAACATAGGGAGACCTCATCTCTATTAAGTAAAAAAAAAAAAAAATTTCCTGGGCATGGTGGCATGCATCTTTGGTCCCAGCTACTTGGGAGACTAAGGCAGGAGGATCACTTGAGCTTGAAAGGTCGCGGTTGCAGGGAGCCACAATTGTGGCTTTCCACTCCGGCCTTGGTAATATAGCAAGACTATGTCTTTAAAAAAATAAAATAAGAATCTGTACACAACTCATGGAATGATATTGTTTTATAGTTTTACTGTATATTTGTTTCTGTCATAACTTCAAATATCTCAAAAACTTTAATTATTTTTATTCAAGACACGCAGAAGCAGGGCAGGCACAGTGGCTGATGCCTGTAATCCCAACACTTTTGGAAGCCAAGGTGGGTGGGTTACTTGAGCTCAACAGTTTGTTGCTACAGTGAGCTATGATCGTGTCACCGCACTACAGCCTGGGCAACTATTTACGAATAAAAGAGAGAGAAAGAGAGAGAGAGATAGAAGCAGAAATTCAAAGGATACTTTTTGAAATGCACTTAATGTAAAGGTTGTTTTGCATGGTTAATTTATTCCTATTAAAGGAGTACTACATTCCTGCCACTTTTCTAGGTGGTGAATATATAGCAGCAACCAAGTAAATACTGCTGTCCTCAGGGTGCTTACTTTTTAGTGGGTAATGCTTTAAACAAAATATCTAGTATATTAGATGGTAACAAGAACCTTGGAGAAAAATAAAACAGAAAAGAGTGTTCAGGTCTAGCATGAAAGGTTACACTTTCAAATCTGATCATTAGGGAAAGTCTCACCCAAGACAGTGATGTTTAAAAATATTTCAAGAAGCAAGTTGTGCACATATTAGGGAGAAAAGCAATCAATGAATAAATACAGCATGGTTAAGGAATAGCCAGGAGATTAATATGGCTAGAGTAAAATGAGCAATGGGAAAAGTAAGTAGGAGATATAATTACACTGGGAAAGAGTCTAGGGGCATATTAAATAAGACTTTATAGGTCATTATAAAGACTTCACTGTTTTTGTTTTGTTTTGACTCTGAACGAGATCAAAAGATTTTAGAGGGTTTTGTGTGGAGGAGAAACATAACATGACTTATATTTTAGTAGGGTTATTCTCACTGTTACATGGACAAAACTGAATGGGGCAAAAATAGAAATAGGGAAATCACTTTGGAGGTCATTGCAATAATCCGGTGAGAGATATGATGACTTGGACTAGACAAGTAACAATGGAGGTGTTAAGATACAATCAGGCTCTGGATATAGTGTGTAGGTAGATTTAATAGAAATTGCTGTTGGATTGAAGAATAGTTTATAAGGAAATGAGTCAAGGGTGGAAACTTCATTAACCGAGAAAGGGTAAATGGGGATAATTTGGTCTAGTTTTGTATAAATTGTGGGGAAAGTCTTGGTCTCATAGTTGAGTATTCCATGGCTAATGTAGTACCTTCTCTGTAGTATATAAGTGATAGATTTTACTGACTAATTTAATAATTTTTTTGTCTCAAACTTGTGACTTAGACTTTGATAAACTTCTGTTTATGATAGATGGATTTTTAAATTGATTTTATTATTTGTATTTTGTAATGTATTTTAAAGCGTATTAGTGAAAACACAACTTAAAATTTATTTTCTTACCTTCCTAACATTTGAAAAAAAGAACATACACTGTATAATGTTTTTTTGTCTCACTAATGTATTCATATCCCTCTTCCCCTTTCTTGGCAAACTTGTCTGAAAGTATACTGTTGCGTGTTATGTCATGGATGTACTGGAGCATGTGTGTTCAATACGTGTCATAAATGGAAGCAGCTGGTTTCCTATGCAGTTAAGAGAAGGCATGCATACAGCTGAACTCTTCAAACTTCAGAACTCATTGGATTCAGTTTCTATCCTGTATAAGCATGCTGTGATTTCAGTTAGTACAAATATATAACAAGTTACCTTAATAGCTTAAAAAATTATTTTGTTTCAATAGTTGAACTACTAAATCTGTTTAATTTTCTTTCCGTCTGCCTTCAGTCCCTACTTACCTATCCTACCTCTTTTTTTTTTTTTTTTTTTTTTTTTTTTTTTTTTTTTGAGACGGCTATCCTACCTCTTGAAAAGAACATTACACCTATAGTCTTAGTTTTAAATTTGAATCTGAAAAGGCCTTGGCTAGAATCGGGAAAAAGTTATCATCTCAAAGGGAAAAGTTGAATTCATACACAGGAACTGCAGGATTACTCTGGTGTTTTACTAGTCCCTTGTAGCACTCGCAAGTCCCATAAATACCTAATGGAAAAACAGCAGAAAATGAGATCTGCAGCAGCCTTTTGAGATCAAATTTATGTTGCTGAACATTTTTTTCAGGTTGAGTGTAAAGGTCAAAAGAAAGTGGGTAGATTAAAGTTGCTGATTTTTGCAAACTTAAGGCCATTTTTAAAGGTTTCTCTTTCTGTAGCAAGAAAATTTCAAGATAAGTGGCTTTGCTTCATTAGCTGAAATGTCATGTCTTCATTTAATATCTGTTACCTAAGACATTTAGTGATTTAGTGGTATTTATATACAATAAACAAAAATCTCAATCCACTTTAACAAATCTAGATAAATTTATGAAATTGCAGATCTTTCCGAGAACAGCATGATGATAAATTAATGTACATATATATGTTTGTATTGCCACGTATATATGTATTCTAAATGACATATTTTAGATATTTTTGTATAATATAGAAGGAAAAGATAAAAGTTTTGTAGTTTTAAAGTATAGGTTATTGATCCAGCAGTGTAATTATCACCATCTTTTTAAAAAATTATTTCTTATATTAAACTATTGCAATGAAGATAAATGACCTCAAAGAAAAGATGGTGGCATGTAATAGCATTACAACAAAATTCATGGATGCTTTTAGTGGTCTCTTTACCTTTTGGACAACCTTTTAACACATTGTTACTGGTGCAAGCCTATATCTAAGAAACTGTGAGTTACTAGGGTACTCCAGACTTGATGCAGTGAAGAACAATGAACTGCCATTTCTGGACATCTCTATCCTGAGTTGATAGTACAGAAAGCCACCACATGTGTTAATGTGAAGTTATAGGTTATTTATATCTCCAGGGCTTTCTTTGTGTCTTTGATTTTATAGTTCAGATTGCCTAGTTATTAATACTTAGAATTCTAAAGAATAAGACAAAAAATTTTGACTTAATACATTCATTGCTGCAATACAATAAAAAGTTTTTGTGGAAATTATCCAGATAATTTCATAGTAGAATAATATATGAAATGAAATATTTTCTTTTTTATGGTCGTTGATAATTAATAGTAAAGCTATTCAGTTTATCTCTAAGAAGTCAGATTATGGGAGACTTGTCTCTGTTTTTCTCTGTTTAATTTTCCCAAAAAGATTCATAAGGAAAATATTAATTTTCATTTAAATCTCTATATTAAGCATTAAGTGATTTTTTTTATGCCTTGGAATCACAATGAATATAAATGTTATTTTTTTATTATAGTTGATTTTGCAATTTCAATTCATTTCTATTGAATATTTTAATGAACATTTTTGTGAAACTAGGTAGAGGTCACAAATCTCGTTAGTCACTGACAGCCAATTCTCAAACCCAGGTCTTTTCCTGTATGCCACATTTCCTCATTAGTTCTCACTACACTGTATGGCTATTTCCTCCTCTTAACTTTTTGTATTTTATTACACTGTTAAAGCACAACTGTACTTCTCTTCTCAAGTGCCCTTTTCTATTCAGTAAGGGTCCCGGGTGAGCAATGATTCTGACTGGGGAAGAGGGAGAAGATGGTGTTGTAGCAAGTAGTATTAAAAGGCCCTTAGGAATGTAGATAGATGTATAATTTTGTCTCTTCTCACTGTTTTCATAAAGACAAAGGCTGTGCCTTAACTTTTTCCCCATTCTTATTTTTGAGACTACCCATTAGGGATTGTTTTTGATGTTGTCGAGATGAAGTATTCAGTGAAGCCAAAACCTCTTTGACTTTTTTTTTTTTTTTTTTTTTTTGAGACGGAGTCTTGCTCTGTCGCCCGGGCTGGACTGCAGTGGCCGGATCTCAGCTCACTGCAAGCTTCCGCCTACTCCGGAACTTTGCCATTCTCCTGCCTCAGCCTCCCGAGTAGCTGGGACTACAGGCGCCCGCCACCTCGTCCGGCTAGTTTTCCCGGGTTTACGCCATTCTCCTGCCTCAGCCTCCCGAGTAGCTGGGACTACAGGCGCCCGCCACCTCGCCCGGCTAGTTTTTTGTATTTTTAGTAGAGACGGGGTTTCACCGGGTTAGCCAGGATGGTCTTGATCTCCTGACCTCGTGATCCGCCCGTCTCGGCCTCCCAAAGTGCTGGGATTACAGGCTTGAGCCACCGCGCCCGGCCCTCTTTGACTTTTATAGTTTTAATAAGTTTGTGCTCTCCAAACCTTCATAAAGTAATGTCTAGTGATCCTTTCAGATATGGCATGCTGTCATGCCAGTTTTAAATAATTGTTAATGGCATGATCTTTAATATTTTACCTAGTTAGAATCAGTAAAATTTATTATATATATTCTGTGCTTATCAATAGAGCCTCTTATGAAGGAGTCAGTATGATGTACTGGATAGAGTATTAGATGGCAAATTGGGTCTCAAATATTATTAGGCATAGTTTTGCCACTAATTTGTATAATGTGCAAGTTTAATAACCTTTCTGGGACTAAAGTTCTCCTCTTCTGAAATGGAAAGATGAATAGGATTCTCTCTAAGGTCTATCCAGATCTAAAGATCTATTTTATTATAGAAAACTTTTATTCATACACACAAAAATAGAATAAAATAAATAGCATAATGAATCCCTGTGTACTCATTACCTGTCCTCATATGTTATCAATAGTAAGCCCTTAGTATCTTCTAATACCTAGTTCATATTAAAATTTCAATTAAAGTATCTAGTCCACATTAAAATATCATCTCAGTAATAATAGTTTCCAGTTGCTTTGTTTTGTTCAAATTGTAATCTAGACAAGGGGTGTGTGTATGTGTCCATGTGTGGGTGTGCGTGTGTATAAGAGAGAGAGATAGAGAGAGAGAGATCTAGTTGTGTTTTTAAGACTTACAGTCAAAAATACATACCATAAAGTTTCTCACTTTAGGCTGTACATGGCTCACACCTGTAATCCCAGCACTCTGGGAGACCAAGGCAGGAGCATTGCTTGAGCCCAGGAGTTTGAGAACAGCCTGAGCAATGTTGCAAAACCCCGTCTCTACAAAAAAAAATATGAAAATTAGCTGAGCGTGATAGTGCGCACTTGTAGTCGGAGCTACTCGGGAGGCTAAAGTGAGAAAATCACCTGAGCCCAGGAGTTTGATGCTGCAGTGAACTGTGATTGCACCACTGCACTCCAGCCTGGGTGATAGAGTGAGCCCTTGTCTCAAAAGAAAAATGTTTTTTAACCTTTTAATTTATTTTTTAGAGATAGGGTCTTGCTGTGTCACCCAGAACTGGAGTGTAGTAGTGCACAGCATAGCTCACTGTAATCTTGAACTCCTGGAGCTCAAGTGATCCTCCTACTTCAGCCTCCAGAGTAGCTAGGACTACAGGCACACACCACCATGCCCAGCTTATTTTTAAAATTTTTTGTAGAGCTGGGGTTTTGCCATGTTGCCCAGGCTGTTCTCAAACTCATAGCCTCAAGTGATCCTCCTATCTTAGCCTCCCGAAATGCTGGGATTATAGGCATATGCCACCGTGCCCAGTCCATCTTAACCATTTTAAAGTGTAAAGTACAGTCATGTTAATTGTATGCACATTGTGTACAATAGATTTCTTGTACAAACACCTTGCAAAACAGAAACTCTGTAGCCATTGAACAGTAACTCCCCTTTGCCCCCTTCATACAGTCCCAGGCAACCACCATTCCACTCTGATTCTGTGAATTTGACTATTTTAGATATTTCATGTAAGTAGAATCATGGTTTATGGCTGGCTTATTTCACTTCCTTACCATAATGTCCTCAAGGTTCATCCTTCTTGTAGCATATGACAGGATTTCCTTGTCTCTCTCTTTTTTTTTTTAGGCCAAGTAATATTCCATTTTGTATATATAGCCCCTTTTTTTTTTTTTTTTTTTTTTTTGAGATGGAGTCTTGCTCTGTCACCCAGGCTGGAGTGCAGTGGCACAATCTCAGCTCACTGCAACCTCCACCTCCCGGGTTTCAGCAATTCTCCTGCCTCAGCCTCCCAAGTAGCTGGGACTAAAGGTGCATGCTACCACAACTGACTAATTTTTATATTTTTAGTGGAGACAGAGTTTTATCACATTGGCCAGGCTGGTCTCGAACTCCTGACCTCAGGTGATCTGCCTGCCTTGGCCTCCCAAAGTGGTAGGATTACAGGCGTGAGCCACCGCGCCCAGCCACATTTTCTTTATACATTCATCTTTATACATTCATCTTTCTTTATACATTCATTCTTATACATTCATCTTTATACATACATCTGCTGATGGACATTTAGATTGCTTCCACCTCTTTGCTATTTTGAATAATTCTGCGATGAATATGGGTGTGCAAATATCTCATCAACATCTTGTTTTCAGATCTTTTGGATATATTTCCAGAAATGAGATTGCTGGCATTTTTAATTTTTTGAGGATACTTCATAGTGTTTTCATAGTGGCTGTGTCATCTAACATTGTCAGCAACAGTGCACAAGGATTTCAATTTCTTCACATCCTCACTAGCACTTGTTATTTTTCTGTTGTTGTTGTTTTTTTTAATAGTGGTCATCCTAATGAGTATGCAATGATATCTCATTGTGGATTTGATTTTCATTTCCCTAATGATTAGTGATGTTGAGCATCTTTTCATATACCTGTTGGCCATTCTGTATCTTCTTTGAAAAATATCTATTCAAGTCCTTTGCCAATTTTTTTAGTTGGATTCTTTCAGGGGTGCTGTGTTGTGGAGTTCCTTATATATTCTGGATATTGACCCCTTATTGGATATGTGGTTTGTAACTATTTTCTCTCACTTCATGAGTTGCCTCTTTACTCTGTTGTTTCCTTTGCTGTACAGTAGAGTTTGGTAGTCCCATTTATCTTATTTTCCTTTTGTTGCCCATGCTTTTGGTGTCTTATCTAAGAAATTATTACCAAATTCATTGCTATGAAACTTTTTTCTCCAGTGTTTTCTTCTCGGAGTTGTGTAGTTTTACATTTTAAATTTAATTGTTTCATTCATTTTGAGTTTATTTTTGTATATGCAATAAGGTAAGGGTCTAATTTTGTTCTTTTGCATGTGGATATCCTGTTTTTCCCACCACCGTTTCTCAAAGAAACTATCCTGTATGCATTATCGGTACTATACTGTTTTTGTTGTTGTTGTTGTTGTTGTTGTGTTGTTGTTGTTGTTGTTGTTTGAGATGGATTCTCGCTCTGTCGTCCAGGCTGGAGTGCAGTGGCGCGATCTCTGCTCACTGCAAACTCCACCTCCCGGGTTCATGCCATTCTCCTGCCTTAGCCTCCCAAGTAGCTGGGACTACAGGTTTCTGCCACCATGCCCAGCTAATTTTTTCAATTATAGTAGAGACTGGGTTTCACCCTGTTAGCCAGGATGGTCTTCATCTCCTGACCTTGTGATCCACCCTCCTCAGCCTCCCAAAGTGCTGGGATTACAGGCTTGAGCCACAGTGCCTGGCCTATCAGTACTATACTGTTTTGATTGCTGTTGCTTTGTAGTATGTTTTGAAATCAGGAACTCTGAGGCCTCTATATTTGTTTTTCTTTCTTGAGATTGTTATGGTTATTTGGGGGCCTTTGCAGTTTGTTTAGATTTTAGAATTTTTTTCTATATCTGCAAAAAAATGTCATTGGGATTTGTATAGGAATTGCATTTAC